CCCCCGCTCCCGCGCTCTAACCGTTGCAAAGACCTATTCTGGCATTCTATTTTCTTAACAACCGGTTCTCTCCAATGATTTCCAATAACTTTTTTTTTCAATAGATTCATTGTCATAGATTCCTAACGCGTCAACTGCTAACGTCGTTAGTCCCGTAAGTGTAGTGCATGTTTTCCTCGTGACGGTGGCCTTCCCACACTAGATGGGGAGAACCGGCGTCGACTTACCGGCCGCTAGCGGGGGTTTACTCCAACCAGATATCTCCGACCAGCGGGGTACCGCCTCAGCCGAAATAATCTCTAAGCTGCCGACTGGTCTCTGGGCATGCGCGGTAGTAGAGTGCATGTTAGTGTAAGTGTGTGTAAGTGAGGGTGAGGACAAGGCAGAGGAAGGAAAGATTCCGCGCAGTACAAGGCCTGTTTCTTAGGGTAGTGCTCGCCTGATGTTGATCGGAGAAACCACGGGAAACTACCAATCAGATCAGCCGGCCGCTAGAATTCTCCTTTAAACTACAATGAAGAACCAAAAAGCTGGTACAGCCATGCGTATTGAAATAAAGAGATCTGGAACCAATCAGAATACGATGCTCCGGTCGGTAACGACTATATAAGACAACTGGAGTCTGGCACAGTTGTTAGATCGGTTATTGCTACTACAATGGCAGGTTAACACGATTTAAGTGAGTTTGAACGTGGTGGTCGGCGCAAGAGACATGAGGCATAGCATCTCCGAGGATGCAATGAAATTTGGGTTTTCCCGTATGACCATTTCACGAGTGTACCGCAAATATCGGAAATACGGTAAAACATCAAAACTCCGGCATCGCTGCAGCCGCAAAAAGATCGTGCAAGAACGGAACCAACAACGACTGAGGAGAATCATTACACGTGACAGAAGTGCAACCTTTTCGCAAATTGCGGCAGATTTCAACCTGGCCATCAAGTGTCAGCGTGCGAACCATTCAACGGTGCATTATCGAAAAAAAGCTGACGGCCCACTCTGTACCCTTGATGACTGCACGACACAAAGCTTTACGCCTCACCTGGGCCCGTCAACACCGACATTGGACTATCGATGACTGGAAACACGTTGCCTGGTCTGACGAGTCTCGTTCACATTGCTTCGGGCGGTAGACGCGTACGAATGTTGCAACAACTTCATACACCCATGGATCCTGAAAGTCACCAGGGGTCAGTTGAAGCTGGTGGAGGCTCTGTGATGGTATGAGACGTGTGTAGTTGGACTGATATGGGACCCTTGATACGTCTAGATACGACTCGGAATCATCTACGTAAGCATCCTGTCTGATTACCTTCATCCATTCATGTCCATTGTGCACCCCGACGAACTTGGGCAATTTCAGAAGAACAATGCGACAGGAACACTCTTCTTAATTTAAATACTTCCACTGGTCACCAAAATCCCCAGACACGAACATTATTGAGCATATCTAGGATGCCTTGGACCGTGCTGTTCAGAAGAGATCACCCCCTTGTACTCCTAACAGTCCTATAAGATTCATGGTGTCAATTACATCCAGCACTATGTCAGATATTAATCGAGTCCATGCCACATCGTGTTGCGGGCCCTACACAATATTAGGCAGGTGTACCACATTTTTTTGGCAATCAGATTTATTTCAATGGAGTAAATGGTTAATGCATCATGCTTTTACTTATTTATCGATACAGTTATTAAAGAACTTAACGATTCTGTTTGAAGGTTACAAAAGTGATTTTCTTCTAGTAGTTACACGACACAAAACTTTACACCTCATCTGGACCCGTCAATACCGATATTGGACTGTTGTGTAAACCGTCTTGGTTCTGTGAATATTCTCTATTTCTCTTTTTCCTGACACGTGTCAGCAGCCGTCTGAGGTCTAATATGTAGCCAGAATTACAAAAAATTATTCACGTTCAATCAGCAAGAGGATCAAATCAGGATAGATCGGCACAAACAGACCTATGTTACTCACCGCTATAATAAATTCAACAACTTGATTGCGACACATTTCATCTGCTTTTGCGTTTCACAAAAATTTTAACAACTGGTTCGTACGAGCTGCTTCAAACCGAAGGAATGACCACATTGTATACAGGGGTTGTGCCCTTCTCAAAGCCAGATAATATTTGTTCCTTTACTCAATTTATTCAAAATAATTACCATATGAACATCTCAACACATCTAAGACTGAGTTTCTTTTTACGATTATGTTCGTTCATTATCCATTCCAAGCTAACAACTTAAAAACAAAATGTTTCTAAAAATATTTATGGTGGATCGGTACTTTTCAGGTTTCGCTTCGTCCGAGGATTCCGCGAGATGAGCTTGTGACGCAAGTCTCAAAGGTTTTATATATTTGCTACGTTTGTATATTACACTGGGGCTACGTTAATTTATTCCGGAATATTCTCTTCTTTTCAAAACTAACTCTACAATTATTACACTATTTGCCGATGTTTTGTGGTTATAACAAACTATTCATGAATTTATATCTACCCTCTTTTAATTAAAGTTGAAAATATAATTGAAATTTAATATCTGATCATTTAATAAGCAAATTTTCAAAAAAATAAAGCAAAATGAATTCATTATCGAAGATTATTTCTCAAAACAAATTTTACAAAAATTTTCTTTTTTTAATTTGCAACGAATAATAGGCTAATGCACCATTATCTTGAAATTAAGAGGAATATGTTTTCAAAAATTGCCTTTTATTTACAACATCCCGCCAGCACCCCTTCTTAACAATGAAAATATTGTTAGATATTTTTATTTCCGACATCCCAGCTGTATTTTTTTAGAACTTACTGTCACTGAACATGGTAGGGAATTAACAGTTGTTAACAGAACAAACCAACAATTGTACACAGAACCAACACGATTCTCTGAATATTCTTCAACAAATAGGATACGAAGTAGATACTTAAGTTTTCCGAAATATTCGTCGAAAAAATCGAGGGGGGCCGTAAAATAACGTAATGTCTATAATCATTTCACCAACATGGTACTTCTTAGAGAACTTCTTTTCGCACCTCGTGAGGAAACGCTCACGTACACGACCAGTTATCGACCTTCCGATGAGCTCAAAAGATCTACTTTACATTATCACTATGACACATTAGATCTCTCGCCTCCAGATTGTCATTCAAAAGGATTTTCAGCATTGTAATATCATCATAGTTACTCTGCATGTAATAATCTTATCGCATCGATGACGCATAACGTTAAGGGAAACTCATTCAGGAAAATCCCAGTTCATAATTAGTATGTGTTCGTTGGGAATGTATTCAGAAGATAACTTGTGTTCATATTTTTACGTCGTTACTGGCTTCTACTGAGTAAATGCTACAAGACACCAAAATCTAGTATTCAGACGTGTTTTGACAAGATTTTTTTAAATTTCGTGTGTCTGTGCAATTATTACCTAAAATTATTTTTTCATTTAAAATAACTCTGTAACAATGGTTTCAATTACTCTCAGAAAACAAATGTTTACAAAAATGTGAAAAGTCAATTTGGTTTAAAAGGAAGTATAACATCTTTTTTTCAGGAGTTTCCTTGTATTTCATTACTTATTCATAATGTTTGTAATCTGATTTTATATTTGGGAGTGATTTACCATTCGTAATTACAAATAAGATAAGATAAATTATAAATATAAATTTATTTGAACTGCAAATGGGCATAACCCGTTGGCAGCTAATTACATAAATAAGATAATACAGCTAAAATGCAAATTATATAATAATAATAATAATAATAATAATAATAATAATAATAATAATAATAATAATTGTACAATAAAAACAGCTGATAAAACTACGATAATAATATTAACAATAATAAAAATAACATTAATTATAAAAATAATTACATAAAAACTGTCTAATTCATAAAACATTAAATTATCTTAAGAAAAAGAAACTTCTATCATCTAACTCCGCACTGAATGTTTGTTCATTTAAGTTCTGCACTTCACATCACTTCACTTTACTATGACCCTTTAATCATTTCCTTCATTATTTCCCTACACTACACAGCACGACGTCTCATTTCACAATAAATCACTTACGTATCTGTATGTGTAACCTACTATTTTCAGTTAAGTCCCTCATTTACTTAGTAATACCCTAAATTAATTTCCTAAACTGGTGAACGCTACGAGGGAAGGGTTCAAAGGTTTTTGCAGGCAATCTATTCCATTCCGTCATCGATCAATCTGTGAACGAAAATTTACCGACCTCAGTCATAAACTGCGGTCATAAATTAAATTTGTGCCTGTGATCCCCCCTACTGATGTATGTAGGAATACTTAGCCACCGATTAATTTCATTCCAAACTTGATTACTACTATTAGCTTTATACAAAGCACAGAACCTTGCTACTGATCGCCTGTTTTCCAGTGAAACCCATCCAACCATTTTCTTATCCCTGCCATTTTCTTGTCTCTAAAGAAATAGAGAAATGTACCAAATTGTATTTTTAGTGTGCCTTGGTCTTTTAATTTTTTTAATTGTCTTTGTTCGAAAAGAAAGCATTTTTCAACGCAAAACACTGAAAATGTACTCTCCCATTTTGGAGGGTGACCTCCTCTTGACAAACTTTTATCCATAAGAAAAAATTGAATTATTTCTTCCTGATACTTCCTTTACAATATCACCAAAATTCAACCAAATCTAAGAACGGAACGTTTCCTTCTCAGTGATTCACGCGTTTGACATCAGCTTGTTTGTACATTTTAAAAAGTTTTCAAATGCTGAAACATTTTAGAAACTTTTCGAAACTGTTATATTCATACAATTCATTCAGGTATAACAAGCTAAAAATTATAGTTACAATTTTCATGTAGGATAGGAATGTGAGAATAGGATAACCTACAGGTCGGTACATACCTACTTGAACGTGATACTAATAAGCTTAGTTCGTATTTATAAAGTATATTTTCCAAAACGACACTATTCACATT